CAACAACAACAACAACAACAACAACAACAACAACGACGACGACGACGACAACAACAACACAACAACAACAACAAGGAACAACCGCGCGTGAGTACCCCATGGTTCCAAACCTCGTTCCCCGCGTTCTTCCCTAAGGTGGAACCGCGCGTCTGTGCCCCATTGGCCGGTTCGGACCCCCCCCCAGCAACCAGCAACCAGCAACCAACAAGCAGCAACCCCCTGCACCGCTGGCGAATTCGCTCGCTTAAGGGTGTAGACTCATCCTCCATGCAATTTTGCCGTGTGTGCACCAGCGAAGCTCCGGAATCTACGGAGTCCTCTCGGATCCTTAGGTGGATCCACCTCTACTACAATCCTATTACTGCTGGATCCAGCTCTACTACAATCCTATTACTGCTGCATCCACCTCTACTACAATCCTATTACTGCTGGATCCACCTCTACTACAATCCCATTACTGCTGGATCCACCTCTACTACAATCCTATTACTGGTGGATGTACCTCTACCACAATCCTATTACTGCTGGATCCACCTCTACTACAATCCTATTACTGCTGGATCCACCTCTAGAAGCGGAAATGAAGCACCCTGTGGGGCCAGGGCCACGATCCTCGAAAGGTGTGCGCCAAAATTAAGCTTCGGTGGGGCTCCCTGTGGTGCCAGGGCCACGATCCTCGAGAGGTGTCCGCCGAAATGAAGCTTCGGTGGAGCTCTCTGTGGGGCCAGGGCCACGATCCTCGAGAGGGGCGTGCCGAAATGAAGCTTCGATGGGGCTCCTTGTGGGGCCAGGGCCGCGATCCTCGAGAGGGGTGTGCCGAAATGAAGCTTCGGATGAACTCCCTGTGGTGCCAGGGCCACGATCCTCAAGAGGGGTGTGCCGAAATTTTGTTTCGCTGGAGCTCCTTGTGGGGCCAGGGCCACGATCCTCGAGAGGTGTGTTCCGAAATGAAGCTTCGGTGGAGCTCCCTGTGGGGCCAGGGCCACGATCCTCGAAAGGGGTGTGCAGAAATAATGCTATAGAATCCCTAAGGGATACCAAAGAATCACTGAGGGATGCTATAAAACCCTCGGAAAAGGGATGCTATAGAATCCCTAAGGGGATGCTATAGAATCCCTAAGGGGATGCTATAGAATCATTAAGAGGATGCTATAGAATCCGAAAGGGATGCTATAGAATCCCTGAGGGATGCTATAGAATCCCTGAGGAATGCTCTAGAATCCATAGGGGCTGCTACTGAATCCCGAAGGGATGCTATGGAATCCCTTAGGGCTGCCTCGGAATCCCCATGGGTCCCGGCGTGTTGCCCGGCGTCCCTCAGTGGCCTGCCCCAGAGGGGGGAGGCGCATGCCCAAATGGCTTGAACCACAAATGAAGAGAGGGAGAGAAGCGTGCCCACGTCAGCCGCAAGGCCACCAGAGCCACGGGAGTCAAATCCGCCGCCGTGCCTCCTGCACGGCAGAGGCGAATTAGAAGCTGGGCCGGCACGGGAACGAAAAGAGCTCCCTGTGGGGCCAGGACCACGGTCCTCGACAGACGTGTGCCGAAATGATGCTTCGGTGGGGCTCGGTGTGGGGTCAGGGCCACACTCCTCGAGAGGGGTGTGCCGAAATGAAGTTTCGGTGGGCCTCCCTGTGGGTTGTGTGCCACGATCCTCGAGAGGGGTGTGCCGAAATGATGTTTCGGTGGAGCTCCCTGTGGGGCCAGGGCCGCGATCCTCGAGAGGGGTGTGCCGAAATGAAAATTCGGTGGAGCTCCCTGTGGGACCAGGGCGACGATCCTCAAGAGGGGTGTGCCGAAATGAAGCTTCGGTGGAGCTCCCTGTGCAGCCAGGGCCGCGATCCTCGAGAGGGGTGTGCCGAAATGAGGCGTGGGTGGAGCTCCCTGTGGGGCCAGGGCTACGATCATCCTTGAGGCGTGTGCCGAAATGAAGCTTCGGAGAAACCCTCTGCGAGGCCAGGGCCACGATCCTCGAGAAGAGCGTGCCGAAATGAAATTTCGGAGGAGCCCTCTGAGGCCAGGGTCACGATCCTCGAGAGGGGTGTGCCGAAATGAAGTTTCGGACGAGCTCCCTGTGAGGCCAGAGGCCCTATGGGATTCCTATAAGATTTTTAAATTTGACTCCCATCGGATTCGTAAACGTTTCCCGCAGGATTCCTCTAGGATTCGTAGAAAGGCCTTTCCTATAAGATTCGCAGAGGCCCTATAGGATTCCCATCGGATTCCTACAGGATTCCTATAGGATTCGCGGAGGCCCTCTAGGATTCCTATAAGATTCCGATAGGATTCCTAGAGGATGCGTGGAGGCCCTAGGATACGTTTAAACATCATACAGGACTCCTATAGGATTTGTAGAGGCCTTATTGGATTCCGACGGGAGTCTTATAGGATGTGCAAAGGCCCTCTGGATTCCTATCAGATTCCTATAGGAGTCCTAAAGGGTTCGTAAAAGTCCTATAGGAATCCGATGAGGCTCCTATAGAAATCCGATACGAGGCGCAGAGGCCCTACTGGATTCCTATGAGTTTGCTAAAAAGGGTTCCTATAGGATTCGTAAAAAAAGGGCCCGTAGGATTCTTATGGGATTCCCATAGCAATCCGATAGGGTTCGTAGAGGCCCTACAGGATTCCTATGGGACTCCCATAGGAATCGGAGAAGCCCTATAAGATTGACGTAGGATTCCTATAGGATTGCCATCGGATTCGCAGAGGCCCTATCGGGTTCCCATCGGATTCCTAGCGGGTTCCCATAGGAATCAGGCCCTATAGGACTCCTATGGGATTCCAACTGGGCTCCTATAGGATCCGTAGAGGCCCTCTAGGATTCCCATAGGAATCCGATCGGATCCTTATTGGATTCGTAGAGGCCCTATAGGATTCCTCTGGGATCCCTATACGAATCATATAGGTTTCGCAGAGGCCCTATAGGATTCCCAAAGGATTCCTATAAGATCCGCACATGATCCATGAAGGCCCGATGAGATCCCCAAAGGATTCCGATGGGATTCCCATAAGAGTTCTGAAAGCCCCATTGGATTGCCATGTGATTCCGATGGGATTCCCATAGAAATCCTTAAGGCCCTATAGGTTTCCCACAAGTGTCCTATAAGATTCCTATCGGGCTTGTAACAAAAAGCCCTATAGGATTCCCAAAGGATTCCGATGGGATTCCCATAGGATACGTAAAGGCCCTATAAGATTCCTATAAGATCCCCATGGGCTTCCCATCGGATTCGCAGAGGCCCGATGGGATTTCTGTGGGATTCCTATAGGACTCTTATAAGGTTCGCGGAGACCCTACAGGATTCCCATCGGAATCCCAAAAGGATTTGGGGCAACGTGCGTTGCATTGCGTTGCGTTGCGTTGCGGTGCGCCGGGGGGGGGGGGCGGGGCCGGCGCCAGTGAGTGGTTTCGTCAACAACAACAACAGCAACAGCAACAACAACAACAACAACAACAATAATTTTAAGACTGTTCTCCCTGATGTGCTCGACTGTCGAATAACGCGAATTTCCCAAACCCTCGATACGCGCCCTCTTCGTCTTCGATCGAACCCGTTTTGGGGGGTATACCTTTCTTCCCTGCAGGACGGGCCCCGGCAAGCGGCGGGGCGGCCGCGGACCGTCGGCCTGGCCAGCGGCAGCGCTGATCGGCGGGGCGGCCGCGGACCGTCGACCCGACCCCAAGAGGGACGAAGGGCAGATAATGCGGGGCCACAGAAGGCAACGATGGGACTTCTGAGGGTAGCACCTGGGCCACGTAGGATAATGAGGGGGCCACGAACGACAGCGGGGCCACGAAGGGCATGCACATGGGGCCACAACGGGCGCGAACGAGCGGGGGCCACGAAGGGCATACGTATGTTGGGCCGCGGAGGGTAAGGACGGGGCCGCTGAGGGCAGCAACGGGGACACGAAGGGCAGCGAGGGGGCCACGAAGGGCGACAGCGGGGCCACGAAGGGCATGCATATGGGGCCACCACGGGCGAGAACGAGCGGGGGCCACGAAGGGCATACATATATGGTGCACGAAACAAAGCGAGGGGGCCACGAAGGGCTGCAACGGGGCCACGAAACCAAGCGAGGGGGCCACGAAGGGCTGCAACGGGGCCACGAAGGGCTGCAACGGGGCCACGAAACCAAGCGAGGGGGCAATGGAGGGCTGCAACGGGGCCAAGAAACAAAGGGGGCCACGAAGGGCTGCAACGGGGCCACGAAGGGCAACGAGGAAGCCACGAGGGGCTGCAACGGGGCCACGAAACAAAGCGAGGGGGCCACGAAGGTCTGCAACGGGGCCACGAAACCAAGCGAGGGGGCCACGAAGGGCTGCAACGGGGCCACGAAGGGCAGCGAGATCCCGATTCCCAGGTAATCTGTGAAGGAGTCCTAAGCGTGAGCGCGACTCCTGGATGCCTGGGTGTCGGGAGCGCGGCGCTTAGGAAAATTGCAAGAAATTCCAACGCAAGGGCGCTATTCTGCAGTAAATTGCAAGCAAGTTTCCAGCGAGAGCGCGACTCCAGAGCGCAGCAGGAGCGATTCCTGAATAAATCGTAAGGAGGTCTCAAGCGAGAGCTCGATTCTGGAACAAAATGCGAGGAAGTCTCGGGCGGGAGCGGGGGTCCTGGCTAAATTGTGAGGAAGTTTCAGGCGGGAGTTGTTGTTGTTGTTGTTGTTGTTGGTGTTGTTGTTGTTGTTGTTGTTGTTGTTGTTGTTGGTGTTGTTGTTTGTTGTTGCTGTTGCTGTTGCTGTTGCTGTTGTTGTTGTTGTTGTTGTAACCCGGGGGCCAGGGGGCCAATTTGAGCAGGAAGACTTTCCTTGACAAAAAACCAGGTGCGAGCCCCGGGGGGGCACTTCAATTGAAAACATCAATGTGCACCGGTGGGGGGGATCAACAATAATTATTCTTCAAGAGTGAGAGTTCAACAACAACAACAACAATAATTTAAATACTGATCGCCCTTATTTGCTCGAGTGTCCAATAACGCGTATTTCCCAAACCTTCGATACGCGCCCTCTTCGTCTTCGATCGAACCCCTTTTGGGGGGTATACCTTTCTTCCCTGCAGGCCGGGCCCCGGCAAGCGGCGGGGCGGCCGCGGACCGTCGGCCTGGCCAGCGGCAGCGCTGATCGGCGGGGCGGCCGCGGACCGTCGACCCGACCCCAAAAGGGACGGACAGGGGACCGACCACGACGACGACGACGACGACGACGACGTCGAAGACGACGGCGACGACGACGACGGCGACGACGAGCGAAAGCGAGAGCGAGAGAGAACGACAGCGGGGCCACGAATGGCACGAAGGAGGCCATGAAGGGCGACAGCGGGGGCACGAAGGGAATGCGTATGGGGCCACGAAGAGCGCGAACGAGCGTGGGCCACGAAGGGCTCAGATAATGCGGGGCCACAGAAGGCAACGATGGGGCTTCTGAGGGTAGCACCTGGGCCACGTAGGATAATGAGGGGGCCACAAACGGCGACAGCGTGGCCACGAAGGGCATGCACATGGGGCCACAACGGGCGCGACTCCTGGGTGCCTGGGTGTCGGGAGCGCGGCGCTTGGGCAAATTGCAGGAAATTCCTACGCAAGGCCATTCTTCAGTAAGTCGCAAGCAAGTCTCCAGCGAGAGCGCAACTCCAGAACGCCGGGAGAGCGATTCCTGAATAAACCGTAAAGAGGTCTCAAGCGAGAGCTCGATTCTGGAACAAAATGCGAGGAAGTCTCGGGCGGGAGCGGGGGTCCTGGCTAAATTGTAAGGAAGTCTCAGGCGGGAGCCGTTATTGTTGTAACCCGGGGGCCAGGGGCCAAGTTTGAGCATCAAGACTTCCCCTGTCAAAAAACAGGGTGCGAGCGTCGAGGGGCACACTTTGATTGAGCAAAACACAATATGCACCGTTGGAGGGGGATCATCAATAATTATTCTTCAGAAATGAGAATTCAACCACCTTCACCGCGGAACTCCACTTCAGCCACGCGCCCAGAAACTATGAATGACCGTTCGGCCCCATCACTATGATATAGCCACCGCCTGGAGGTGGGTCTTCGGAGACATCGGCAGGCGGTGGATCTGGAACATGTCCCACCCCCCCACGGGCCCGAAGGTAGCCAATTCCACCGCCTGCGGAAGTCCCCGAAAATCTATCCCCCAGGCGGTGGCTCTGGATGAATCCCCGCCTCCGGGCGCTCCAACGTCAACGCGAACCTTTTTCGCAAGCTGTCGGATATGCCATGGCTTGAATTGCCCTGCTCGGGTGGCAAAACAAACGCGGGCGGCGCCAGGACTGGTATCTGCACGGCAGGGGAGCTGCAGAACGGGACGGCGCCAACGAGGGATACGAAGGAGCACTCGTCCCCTGACAGCTGCTCCGCTTCCTGGCCCTCTCCCCGCTCTCTCCTCCTCCTCCTCATCCTCCTCCTCCTCCTCCATCTGCTCATCTTCCTCCTCCTCCTCCTCATCCTCATCCTCATCCCCCTCCGCCTCCGCCTCCGCCTCCGCCGCCTCCTGCTCCTCCTCCCCCTCCTCATCATCCTCCCTCTTCCCAATTTCCTCCTCCTGCTCTTCTTCTTGTATGTAGCCTTCTGTGTAGCATTACTCTTCTTATCGTTCGTATTAGTCTAAGTATATGTAGTATTAGCCGTCTCATTCTTGATATTCGTAATAGATAAGATTTGTCTTACGTATTTCGTAATACTAACAATGATACGTATAATAGTGTTCCCCTCCTTCTTAACATAAGTCATAGTAGCATCCGTTTTATTATTACTTGTCGTCTTAGTAATATTAGTGTTCTGCTTACTGCGTGTATTGTTATCCTGGATCGTCTTGGAAATACTGTTATTCGCATAATCGGTATTAGTAGGCTCGTTCGTCGTGTTAGTATGAGTATTCCTCCTCCCCCTCCTCCTCCTTCTCTTCCACATCCTCCTCTTACTCCTCGTCCTCCTTCTCCTCCGCCTGCTCCGCCTTATCATCCTCCTCCTCATCATCATCATCAGCAGCAGCATCAGCATCAGCCTCAGCATCATCATCATCATCATCATCAGTATCATCATCAGCAGCAGCATCATCATCATCATCAGCATCAGCATCAGCATCAGCATCATCAGCATCATCATCAGCAGCATCATCATCAGCATCGTCGTCATCATCGTCATCATCAGCATCAGCATCAGTATCATCATCATCGTCATCTTCATCATCAGCATCAGCATCAGCATCAGCATCATCATCAGCATCGTCATCATCATCATCATCATCATCATCATCAGCATCATCATCATCATCATCATCCACGCCACTCCCGCCCCCTCATCATCCCTCCTCCTACCCCCTCCCTCCTCACTCCACCTCCTCATCCTCCTCAATCTCACCTTGTGCTCTCCCTCCTCCTCCTCCTCCTCCTCCCCCTCCTCCTCCTCCTCATCCTCGTCCTCCTCCTCCTCTTCCTCATCCTCGATCCTCCTCAATCATACCTCCTCCCTCTCCCACGATCCATCATCG